GGTCTTTACCTGAACTGGGAGCAGCTTTGGATGCCAGGCTGGAGCCCTGGCGCAACAGCTGACTATGGAAGAGGCCTTCGTGCAGTTCAGCATGCAGTGTCCACACATCCACGGAGATGACTTTTAGATGCCTACTACTGATGCATATCTCCAGACATAGGTCCAGGGCCAGTGAGAGCTCCACCAGACAGGTGTCTTCCTGCAGGGAGAATAAGCATACAGGGAGTTTGAGGTCAAAATACAGCGATCTACAACAATCACCTTGCGGCAACCCCACAGGAACACAGAATCTTGACTGTGTGCCTGGACACCTTCAGACCTTATGCTCGGGAGGAAAGAAGGCACCTGAAGGACCAGGGCATACTCACCAACTGACCACTCTTCAGAACTTTGCTGTTGATCTTAGATAAGCTCACTTTACAGATAAGTCTAGGGGAAAAAAAAAAAAAAGATTAAGGCCACTAGGCCCATCCCCTCATTGTTTACATCCCTGTCTAGCTCTGTTGGCTAGAAGGAACAAGACAAGCAGAAAGGCTTAATCTTAGCTACTCCTAGAATTATACAGAGTGAGAACCTGATATTCCAATAAGCAGGCCCTGACATCCGCCTACCCTTAAACAACTCTGAGGCAAGAATGAGACTACCACGCCCTTTCTTTTCTTCTCAATGCTTACCTTTTCCCATCAATGTCCAAAAGAAATTTGCTTCTACTCATCTGGATATGCCACAAGGACTCAGAGGTAGCCACTTTGAGAACCATGATGTTTATAGCATCTACATGGATGGAGAATAGCTGGAAGGAACAAGGATGAACAATGATTAACTTCAAGGCATCACCTTTCCTTCTCATCATTATTTACCCAGAGTAGAAAAATCCACCCACAACTTCAAAACCAACTATCCCAGAGTACCGTCCAGGAGAGCGGAAGAAGCTGTCTCACTTGGCAGAAGATCTTCAGTAAGGATGGGCTGAAGGACAGCTCTTTCTGATCCACCCCAGTCCTCTGGGAGAACGGGGTAACCAGGCCAGACACCTTGTGTAGGTCCTTTCTGATACGCACTTCTCCAAAGCACAACGCCACATAGTGTCTGCCCAGAAGAGAAACTCCACTGGCACCAGCTCCATCCCTTCCCCTGTACTCTCCTGCCCCGCTCCGCCCCCCTCCCCAACATCCATTCCCCTAGCTCCCGGGAAACAAAAGATATTCTCGCAGCAGTAATCAAGTATTGTGTCTCCCAAGTTAATGGCACCCAGGCTGACAGGGAAATTCTAGCAAGAAACCACCTCCCCCTCCGGGCTGTGAGTTCTCAGTAGAAAAACCTCATTCTCAAATCCCAACCTCAAAACACTCTGCAGGAGGAGCAGTGAAGATAAAGGGTACTCACGGCAGATCATGACTGATGAGTTTACTGGAAATCCACAGGTTATCAATTTCCTAAAGCAGTACAGAAGAAAACTCTGAACACCCCCTACCCCTGTCCCACCTCACGTAAGCAAAGAGCAGCCTGAAAACCCATTCTGGGCCACAAGAGAAGCGGTGCTATGGGTTCCTTCTGTAAATCTATCTCATTCCACTTCCATGACTTCTCTGCTTGGCACTCCCAATCTTGCTCAGTATTTCTCCTTTATGGTATCGTTTACAGATGTTGCCATGTTTCTCCCTCTTAAATCAGAACAGTAAGCACTTCTGTTTCCTGTTATCTCTCCTCTGTGCTTGACTCCTCCATCTGCCTTGTGAGCCCTGCAACATTCCGTGACCCAGAACCATCTTCTACTCAACAAGCTGCATCAACCCCAGTGTTCCTCAAATTGGCTCTAATCATCTCAGCATGAGCGACATGGCAAGTCTGGGGTTAACCAGAGAAGCTAAGTTAACCAGGATCTTTTTTTTTTTTCCAAAGGAAAGTAAAAGCTGAAATTCAGCTGGATTGACCCCTCGCAAACATCAAGGGCATTTCCCAAAGCTCACCACTGTTTGCTGGTGCTGCTGAAACTTAAGACTGATATTCTGGATCCAAAAAAAGCGGAAGGAGCCAATCTTTAATTCCGCCTGCAGCTTGCGCTGACACCAACTGGTGGCCAATCGGACCAGAAGCCACCTGCCAAAAAAAAAAAAAAAAGAATTCTCCTAGTTCACAGGACCCTCCCCCAATTATGGCTTCCCTCGCTGCTTGTTGAACTCAGAAGACCTCGCAAAACTGGATCCTCTGGACAACTCTCCTGTGTCCCCAAGCTACCTCTGACACACACACTCACGGATCAGGACTCTGGCCTCCAACTGACCACCTCCACCCTCCAACCTGGGCACGAAGGAAGCCATCTCTCAATTCAGCAGGAACATGATTGGTAGGGGGAAAAAAAAAGAGGACCCCCCCCAAAGGAGTCAAACACCCCGACTCTCAGATCGGACCATCTTACCACCACTGAGGTTCAGTTTCCACTACCACCCTGCAGACAGGTGTGCCCGGGGCCGGCACTGAGAGGTCACCCTTGGCCAGGTCAAATGCCACTCTCCGGGCCCCGCTCTCCAGGGCGGGGCTACTGGGACATACAGGGACGTGTGAAAGTAAAACGGGGACCAACACAGGCCCCCTACCTCCCATCTATTCGGTACCGGCCTCACCATGTCCACAGGCCTCGCCCGTTCCCGAGCCCCACCCTCGAATCACAACCTATTCTGGGGCTCGGGTCGCAAGCCCAAGACAAGGCACCCCCCCCACAACCTAGCCGCGCGCCCCCTGCTCGGCCCCCTTCCCGCGCCTCTGCCCAGCGCGCGCCCCCTCCTCAATCCCTCTTCCTCTCCCCCTGCCCCCCAACCTCCCTCTGCGTGGGCGGAAGCCCCTCACCGGCCTAGAAGGAGGGCGCTAAGCGCAACCAGCAACAAGACCAGCAGCGCGGTGAGGAGCAGAGTCATTTAGGTCCGGGTCCGGCCCGGGCCGACCCCGGCCCCCGCCATGCCGGGACCCGACGCCGGAATCCCGCAGCGCCGCCGCGGGCCGACCAGCCGCGCGCGCAGGGGCGACGCTGGACGAGGAAGCGTTGGTGCGCGCGCGCGCTCCGCCCCCTGACTGCCCGCCAGCCAGCCAGCGGAGGGCCCTCCGCGCCCCGCCCGACGCCCGCGATGCCCCAGGGCCGACCGGCTGCTTGCGCAAAGTGAGGGAGTGGCTCGGGGCGCGGGGAGCCGACCGCGAGCTGGCACGCCCCGCCCTGGACGCACCCCTACGGAGCCCGGAACTGCGGAGGGCTGGAGTCCGCACCTGCTCCCTGGACTCGCCCTGGACCTGGCTGACTCATTTCGGCTTCAAAACACACTTCCTGGAGGCGGGGGGAGGGGAAGGAGGGGGTCCGGAAAGCGTGTTTACCGTCCGTCTGGATGCTTAGGGCCGCAACTCAGGATTCCGCGCGGGTTTGTACCCCGAGTCGAAGGAGCAGCATCCCATCTAATTTTAGCGTCCAGTATAAAACCCAAGAAGTAATTTCGAGATCTCAGAAATCTTACTTCACTGCATTCACAAGAGAAACCTGTGAGTTTTCCACTTATCTACTGTATGGATAATGTCCCGGTCAATTCAAATGCATTGATTGCAACTGCTGTGTGGGGGCAGCTCCATTCTGGACACTTTGGTTAGAGAAATTCAGCGTTTTTGCTGCACTTGAGAACTGGATCCTGGGAGTAGTGGGGAGGGAGGGGTGGAGGCAGTGGTGGTGTCTGGGAGGCAAATGTTCATTACAGAAAATAGAGAATTCCAGGTCAAGGTCAGCTTTGCTGGCTTCCTGCTCTGGGTAACACAAGGGACCTGGACAGGTATGTCCTTTAGACTAGCTGTGATTGCTACGGATTAAAATCGGAAGGATCTCACTATCATACAGTACTAGCTAAAGAAAGCAAAGCATGAGGATTTGAAATTAACTATTTAAATTAATTATCAGGTCCCTTGGATACCTGTCCTCGTCCACATAAGCACCCTTCTGGATTGTCTTCTGAAGAGCTCCCTCACGTAAAGGACGATGTTCAGAGATGCTCTGCCTCCTCAGCCTGATTGCTTCCCTAGCTCCTGCTCAGTCATTTTCCATCTGCTAGTCGCTACCCTTCCCCTCCTCCCCTTTCAAGGTCACACTCTCAATTCAGCAGTGTCTTTCTGGGTCCTGTCTACATCAGGGGGTGTGCTTCATTTTCCTTAATTATTTTGTCCCATCTGTTTACTTTATTCACCTGATGGTCCCACTACTTCTTTCTTTCTCCCTACACTGTTACCATTGCCATTCCCTGCCATCTCACAGCCTGAACTGTATATGTGGTTCACTGATCTTTCTGGAGAGATTTCAGAGCCAAAGGGAAGAGAGGCAGAGATGGGGCCCAATTTGTTTCTGATCTCTGTTGACTGAGATCACAGCTCCTTTATGAAAGAGACCAAGTGTTCATGTCATAAAATATGTTTGGCACAGAACCTGTTAGATGTAAACATTTAGAACTAGCAACATTAAAGCAGAAAAAAAAAGCCTTGCTAGTCACTAAAATTTCAGCAGGTGGCAGTCATCTTACGCACCATTACAGGGTTGAAGGATATGAGGGGATAGCAGGGACATCTTTTCAACAATGTCCCTATGTTTATCCCAAAAAGAGCAGTCATCTTCTAACACTTAAAGAACAATTATTCACTTGTGAAAAAGAGTGAGATTCACACAAAGCAGGACTCCTATCTCAAAATATTAGCTTAATTTTTCTGTTATCCATTGGTGAAGCTATAACATAAACCTTGTAATATTCTGTGACGAGTAAATAAGGTAGCATTTGCAGTGAATAAATGGCACCTCTTCCTTCCACCCTTTCTCCTTTTTCTCCTCTGATGCTTGGTTATTTATTATGCTGTGTTCTTCAAGGGTCTCTTAAGTCACAAGTTTAAAATACAAAGATGAGGTGCTGAGGTGGTGGGGGTGGGGAGAGTGCAGGGACACTAAAGTGGAGAAGGAAACAGTACAGCTAATAAATGAAGTGATGTGACCAGCAAGAAATTTCTCACTTTATCAGTTTTGGGAAGAAACAACAGGAAAAGTCACACACACATTAACAATCCATGATCTAACATCTGAAGAGTAAATATTTCCCGACTCCCTTGGTTTGCTTTAGACACAGGAAGAACAAACATCTGCCCCTCACCGAGTCCTCAAAAAAGAGCAGACCCAAGTCTGGGAGTAACTGATTCAGCTGTGAAGCTCCCCGGGTGGCCACTGTCCAGGGTGCATGTCCTAGAGGACAGGGCAAGCAGCCGCTGTGTCCGTGAACACTGTGTGGGGAGAGGCTCAACACCTCGACTCAGAGCTCAGCATGGTGGGCTTCCGCCTTCAGCAGCTCGCTGGGCTTCATGAAGATGCCCTCCATGGCTTTCCAGTAGTTGTTCGGGCTTGCCTGGGCCATGCCATGAACTTCTTTTTGCCCGCTGATGGGACGACCGTACTGCTCCCCTGTGACAGACAGCAGGACTTCCGTGGACGAATGCTTGAACCGCACCTCCCCGTCTCTCACCCAGTAGGGCCCGTTACAGAGCACAGTCCAGTCATCCAGATAGTCGCCTTCCCCTTCCTCACCGAATGCACTCACTTCCTGGAAACAGAAGGGACAATATTACCATGGCTGAGGCACAGACCAGAGGGAATGGGGTAGGCAGTGCAGCCGAGCAGGTTGAAGGCTCTGCTTGGGACACCCACAACCCCTGTGGAAGTGTCCGGTTTGAGACCCGCCTCCAGTCCCAATCCAGCTTGCGGCTAATATGTACCCTGGGAGGTTGCAGGTGATGGGCCAAGCGTGGATGCAATTCCTGGCTCCTGGCTTTGGCTGGACTCAGCTCTAGCTGTTGTAGCCATTTGCGAAGTCTCTATCTCTCCTTCTCTCTCTGTCACTCTGCCTTTGAAATAAATGACATTTTTAAGAAAAACATACTTCTTTTTAATTAAATGGGCTCTGGAGATGGGTAGACCTTGAATCTCAGTTGAGTCCTTTCCTGCATTCTTCCTGGCCGTATCCCCAGTGATAAACGGGAAGAATCAACTGTGATAGGAAATGTTCACCAAGCAAAGTGCAACAGATGTTTCACAATCCACTGCTCATGGTTCTTAAAACCAAAAACTTCTTAAAGATTGATTTATCCAAGAGTCAGCACTGTGCCACAGTCAAGTTAAGCCGCCGTATGCAGCGTCAGCATCCCATGTGGGTGTTGATTTGAAGCCCAGCCCTGGCTATTGCAGCTACCTAAAGAATAAAACAGCAGATTAAAGATTTCTCTAGGGGCTGGCGTGGTGACCTAGCAGCTAAAGTCCTTGCCTTTATGTGCCAGAATCCCATATGGGCACTGGTTCTAATCCCGACAGCCCACTTCTATCCAGCTCCCTGCTTGTGGCCTGGGAAAGCACTTGAAGACAGCCCAAAGCCTTGGGACCCTGCACCCACGTGGGGGACCAGAAAAAGGCTCCAGGCCCCTGGCTTCAGATCAGCTTAACTCCAGCCATTGTTGTCACTTGGGAAGTGAATCATTGGACATAAGCTCTTCCTCTCTGTATATCTGACTTTCCAATAAAAATAAATCTTAAAAAAATAAAGATTTCTCTAACACTGCCTTTTGAATTAGTAAACAAAAATAAAGATTTATTTGAAAGACAGATTTATAGAGAAATGGAGAGACAGATCTTCTATCCACTGGTTTACTCCCCACATGGCCACAATGGCCAGGGTAGGTCTAGGCCAAGACAAGGACCCAGGAGCTGCACGTAGTTCTCACGTGGGTGCAGAGTCCCAAGAACTTGGGCCACCATCTGCTGCTTTCCCAGGCACCTTAGCAGGGAGCTGAGCAGTTGGAACAGTTAGGATGCACACTGGTGCTCATATATCAGGGTGGTGCTACAGGCAGTGATTTAACACACTATACCACAGTGCCAACCCCAAGACAAATGTTTCATATAGAAAAAACTCTCAAGTAAATTAAGCACATAGTCCACTCTCAAGTTGGAGCAGCCTAAGTCTCTGCTCTGTAAGCATGGCCTATGCATGACTTCCATCAAAAGACTACAATATGAAAAGGGGGAAAACAAAGAGTAACTTTAAGTAAGTCGTAGACACTACTTGACTCTGGTAGCTCAGGGCAGCATCCAGATTCTGTAGACAGCACGTTGATGAGCACAGCACTTGCCTGTGGTAATCTTCCTCCCTGTACTCCATAAGCCCAGTGAAACCATGAGGAAAACATCAGCCAAATTCCAGCACAGGGGTATGGTCTTCATCTGTCTGAGCTGCTTGATAATGTACAATGAATAGAGGTTTATTGTGGAGTTCACAATCCTGATGGCCACGAAGTACAAACAACCCAACACCCACAGCCAGGACCCCCGGCTGTATCATAAGTTGAAAGGGCAAGGGCTTCATGGAAAGGGTGTGTGTGTATGTGTGTAATGAAGAGACATACTCCAGTGAGGTCATACTCTTCTCTAACAACCCCCCTCTCCTAAGAATGTGTTTTTGGAGGACTAAAATCACCCTGAGAGCACTCAGTCTCTTTATGCTCTAGTCACCTCTTTAATTATTATTTTTTTATTCATCTCTTATTAAAGACCCCACCACTTCTGTATAACATTAGGAACCAAACCTCCATCAGAGGAGCCATCAGGGGACACGCACACCACATCCAATCTGATCAAGAATGCTACAATACAATGGATCCCATACTTCTCAAAACTGAGCAAGTCAGGGTCCTTGTGCTGTTATGACACAGCAATGTGAAGCCACTGTCTGCAATACTGGGATCTCAGATTAGCCTGAGCGTGCATGCAAATCCTGGCTGTTCTGCTTCCAAACCAGTCCAATCTAACCCCTGTTAACATGCATGAGAAGATAAAAGAAGATGGCTCAAGTGCTTGGGACCTTGTCACCTACTCTGGGAGACCCAGATAGAGATTAAGCTCATATGTTCTTAGACAATGTACAGCACTGATGATCTAGAATAAGCACAATATTGTACAATGTTGAATCTACCCAGTTTAGTTGTATCAAAATTACCATAAATGTAAGGAGTGACTCAACAGCGAACCCTGAAGACTGATCCGACCACCCTGGACCGAGCACCACCTTGAATACCTGCTTACCCAGCATTACCTTAAATCCCCTAGGTATGGTCCCAATAAGGCTCACTTGCCTAAGTAAGCGCTGTGCCCCCAATGCCTGTACTTTATGATCCCCACACCTCATGGTTCTGCTCCAGCAATGCCTGAGACATTTATCTCTGGTAGCCACCTACAGCTGCATCTGGCATCTGCCAATCCCTGACCCAGCAACCCCACACCCACCTCAAGGCTATAGAGGTGACTTTCCTTTCTCCACTCCCACCATGCTCTCTCTGCCAGCTTTCACTCTGCTCTTCCCTTCAAAATAAAGATCTCACGTGGCTCGCTTTCGCTTACTGTGTCTGGTGTTGTGGTGAGGAAGGAAGCTAGTTCAGGATCATGGGCTTGGAAGCCACTCTACCACCACCATCTAGGTGTTCCCTCCTGCCCACCTGTGATGCTCACCTGTTATTCAGAGGGACAGTATTGTCTTGTTGCGTAACCGCTCCCCTCACAAGCCCCTGCAATGGCTCATGATAAGGAGGGGCTCACTCTCTCTTGGTCCTGTGCTTCCATTGCTCTGGTACTCTGACTCTTGGCTGTCCCAGGACAGATATCCCCTGAGCATGGCTCCTGTGTGTCTGTATTTCTCATCTTCTGTTTACTAAAGACAGTAAAGATAGCAATGCTAAGATGCTTTGTATTTCTGATTTGTGTAGTATCAGGAGTTCCAGGAGAGGTGAGGCCTAGCAGCAGTGGAAGGTGGGCAGAGAAGCCAGGGAAAGGTGAATGTCTGCAGCTTTGTAAATGTGTCCAAGTTATTTGTTGCATATCTCTCAGGATAACTTATATTGTTGGGGAAGCTGGGATGTGAGGCCACAGCTTAACGGGTGGACTTCAGGGTAAAGACCATTTGTTCCTTTTGGGGTTACAACTGATTGGATTGCCGTATGGAGTTGTGACTTGCTGTTTCTAGTGTGCTCTATTATCACCAAGCTTAGTTAATAAAGACTCCTTAATAAGCTTTAGACTTGTTTGGCATGACCCTGTAACAGTGTCTTGGGTTTGTAGAGAGATTAGCTAATAATAAATGATGGTGGATTTCATTCATAGAGAAGAAAAGTAGGATACTACTGTTAAGGTAAGAGATAAGTTTTGATTCACAAAATTCCAGTGAATTTCTAAAGCCATTCGTATCAGTGTTGTCATCCTAAAAGTATGGATGGTGGCCACAGTATAGTTTTATCAAATCATTTCTCCATTAAGCATCTTCTTGTTGTCTGTTTGATCAATCCTGACACTGCATGGAAAAGAACATCCACACCTGGAAAAGAAAGACGTCTGAGCCCAGTTGGACCACGTGGAGCAGTAGTGGCCCCTGGATGCTAGCTCACCTGGTTGCCGGAAAGAGGTGAGGTGAAGTGGTGACTATGGAGGTTTCGGCCAGTGTTGACGTGTGTCAGCCGGATGAGCTGGCCACATTTGATGGGGGTTCCCCTCTCACACACTGTGGCTGTCTTCCCTCGCACTCGCCAGTAACTGTTACTGTCATCCACAGAGGTCACACCTGTCACTGACTGCTGCCCACTACCTGCAGTAAAAAAAAGTGAGTGCAATCTGACCCTCTCGCCCTCTCCTGTAGTCAATGATGTGCCCTATCATAAAGTAGGTATGGACAGGTATGCAGTAAACACTAAGTTTGGCAATATTTTTTCTTCTACAGCATTAAGATATTTATGAAAAATCCTAAATGTGACTAGTATTATTTGTTATATGATAAACAGTAGAGTTGGTCATATCAAAACACTAAAAATATAAATTTGTGCAGCTTTTAGAAGTACAGGCCATGTCTACCTACATACACATATTCCAGGATTACTAGCCTAGGGAATCCCTAGAACATGCCGAGTATATAATTTTATGAGGGCACTTTCAGAACTTCAGGGAGGGGTCAGTGTTGTGATATAGTAGGTTATGCCACTGTCTTCAAAGCCAGTATCCCATACAGAAGTGACGGCTGCTCCACTTTTGTTCCAGCTCCCAGCTAATGTCATGAGAAAGCAGTGGAGGAGGGACCAAGTGCTTGGGCCCCTGCATCCTCATAGGAGGCCTGGAGAAAGCTCCTGGCTCCTGCCTTCAGAATGATCCAGCCTCTGCTGCTGGGGACATCTGGGGAGTGAACCAGCAGATGGAAGATCTTTCCCTCTTTCTGCCTTTTCAAGTAGATAAATCCCTGCACCTTCTCAAACCCCTGTGACCCTCCCTGGGGCACCATTCTCCTCCACAGGCCCCCATGATACTCCCCCCACACTTTTCATCTCTACAGACCCGCCCCCCCCCAAGACCCTCCCCAGGGGGTCCGTCACCTCCGCAACACCCCATGACCCTCCCTGGGGCACCCTTAACCCCGCAAGCCCCTATGACCCTTCCCTGGGCATCCCTCCCTTCCACAATACCCCATGACCCTTCCCAGAACACCCTCACCTCCACAGGCCCCCACCACCCTCCCCAGGGCACCTCTCACCTCCACAATACCCTACGACCCTCCCCTGGGCACGCCTCCCCTCCACAGGCACCGACGACCCTCCCCCTGGACACGCCTCTCACGCCCCCTGCGGACGAACCAGGTATCCCGCCGCACCTGATCCATAGCGCACGTCATGGGAGTGCAATCGTACGTTGTGCCGCGTGTTGAGAAGCTTCACCACAGATCCGCAGGTAACCACGGCCAGACTGGACGCCCCCACAGCGCTCCACAGGCCCCCGAACACCAGGAGCGAAACCACAGCCATCCTCACCCGGCGGCCGAGCCCCGCAGGCTTCCAGGAAACCTTAATCCCTCCCCGGAACCGGAACCACAACGAGAAGGAAGTGAGGGCGCGCCAGTCGGAGCTTTAGAGTTCCTCTGACCGCCGCGGCCTGAGGAGCGCTCCGGGCCGGGTTCCTCGGCACTCCTCCGGCCCGGGGTCGGGGTCGCAGCGGGGCCGGCGGGGATTCCGCGACGACCCGCTTCCTGCTCCGCCAGGAGCGGTCCGCCCACTCCCAGTGACAGGGGGCCGGAAGTGACGCCTCACGTCGACGCGGCGGCGGCGGCGGCGGCGGCGGTGGTGGAGGGGCCGTGCGGTGGGTCCGGACTCTCCTCTCCGGCCTCGGTTCGCCGACTCCATTTTCCTCGGCGGGGGTTGAGCGCCCCGGGGAAGCGGCGGGCTTCGGGCAGGTAAAGTTGGTGTCGGAGAGCGTGTTTCTCGGCGGCGTCGGGTTGGGAAGCTAGGCTGCTCGGGCCTGGCCCCTGGAGAGAGGAGACACTGGGGAGCCGGTGTGCCGGAGGAGGCTCGGGGGGCCTCGCTGCGTCCGGAGGGGGAGGGGGCTGGAGCGGCGGCGTCGGGCGTCGGTTCGAGTCTCCAGGCTGTTCCCCAGCGGGGAGCACCCCGAGCCCGAGAGCCGGGGGTGGTCTGTTGAAGCAACAGGCTCGGGGACCGCAGCTGCTGGAAGCCGGGCCACGCGAAGGGGCCGGGGTCAGGGGGTCGAGCCGCCGTTTGCGAGCCTGTGAATCCTTAGGAGCTTTCGCCAGCTGGGCCATCATCAGGCTAGCGGGTGATGCCAATTTCTAGCTCTTTCCGTGCCGTTGAATAATACAGATAGTAGAACTTTTGGGTGGAAGGTCACAGCCTTGAGTCCTTAATGGAGTTCAGAGATCTTGGTTCGTGTTCTGTAGATTTCGGTTTTCTAATATTGGCCAGACTCCTGCCAGACACCTCAGAATGAGTTAAGCCAAGGCTTTCTTTTTGTTCCAGTGTCTGCAGTTCTTTCTAGGCGCTCCCTTGAATCAGGGCCAGTATCTCATTTCTCTGAGTCTGCGTAAGAACTGGGGCTTGATTTTTCGTTAGCAGATGCTGTAAAGTTGTGTTAAAAAAAATACATATATGTATACACACACACACGCTTTCATGGAATTTTAATGTATCGGGAGCAGGAAGGGAGCATTAGGCTATGATTCTTTTAAGGAACGTGGAGAATGTAAACAGTCTTGAGCTTAATTAATTTCTGTGGAAAATAAACCTAGTTCTATCATTTGTCTTATGATTACCAATTTTGAAGTCTTGAGTGTTTTTGCTCTGCTTAAGCTGTGCCTTTGGCTTGTGTGGCGTGTCTCTCAAATCCCCTTGTGATTAATCCCATCAATACCATCAAGAAATGCTATGTCAGGCAGATTCCACCTCTTGCTCTCCTGAGGCCTCTTTCTTTTTTAGATTTATTTTTATTGGAAAGTCAGATTTACGGAGAGGGGAGAGAGGCAGAAAGATCTTCCATGGGTGGGTTCAGTCCCCAAGTGGCCGCAAGAGCTGAGCCAATCAGAAGTCAGGATCTTTTTCTGGGTCTCCCATGCAGGTGTAAGATCCCAAGGCTTTGGGCTGTCCTCAGTTGCTTTCCCTGGCCACAAGCAGGGAGCTGGAAGGGAAGCAAGGTGAGGATTTAGCCACCAGGCATTGGTACCACCGCCCCAGGCCACTTCCATCAAACCAAAGCAGGCCTGTTAGTGGGTGGGGCTGCAAGGTTTTCAGATGTAAATAAATTTATCCTTGATTCTGTTCTTGCTCTCCCAGCCCCACCCTCAATACTGTATATAATCTTTTGTTTTCTTCCCCATTATTCCTCAGCACAATCCCCAAATCCTGTCTAATCATTTGTTTTCCAAATTTCTGTACTAAGTTCACCTGTTACCACTTGAGTTCTCTTGACCTTGTCAAAGTTAACACTTCTGTGTTGCCAAATCTGGTGGATACTGTTTTCTTTCTCAGTCTCTGGGGTATTCAACAGTTACTGCTTTCTTGAAACTTTTCTTGGGTTTTCTAAGTGTTCTTGGTAGGTTTTCTCCACTTACCTGGCTGAAGCTTCCACATTCCTTGGCTAACCACTTTTATCTTGAACTCTAACAAGTTGGGTTTATATGTCAGTGTAGTCTAGAATCTTTTTTTTTTAAGCCTTATTTTTATTGGAAAAATATATTTACAGAGAGCAGGGTCTGATATCCACTGATTCATTTTGCAAGTGGCTACACTGGCAGGAGATAGGAACCTCTTCTGGGTCTCCCACACAGGTACAGGATCCCAATGCTTTGGGTTGTCCTTTGCTGCTTTCCCAGGCCACAAACAGGGAGCTGGATGGGAAGTGGAGCCGCCAGGACATGAACCAGCACCCATATGGGCTACCGGTGCATGCAAGGTGAGGATTTAGCCACAGAGCCACCAGGCCAGCCTCAGACTCCTGAATCTTATGCGTGTGTCCTTAGCTGATGCAGTCACCCCATCCACACCCCTATTTTAATTGCCACCTAAAAACTGGTAACTCCCAAGTTTAAATCTCTAGCTAAACCTTTTTTCTCAGTTCCATAGTCGTATTTTGGAATGCCTTCTCTTTATTAGTTGTAGTATTACTAAGGATGAATTTATATAAAAGGCAGAGCCACACACAGAGAGGGATTTTTCACTTCCCAAATGACTGCCACAGCCAGAGCTTGGCCCTCCTGAGCCAGGCTTCCACTGCCTTCCCAGGCACATTAGCAGGAAGCTGGATTAGAAGCAGAGTAGTTGGAATCCAGCATTCTAATTAGGGATTTACAGCCTTCCTTCACAACCCCTCTCCCGGTTCCCTAGCCTAAGCACCCCCACATGACATAACCAAAAGAAAATACTGATGTTCTCATCAGTGCCCAGCTCACTGGTAATCCATCCACATGGTTACCAAAGACACCTCTCTCTCTCTCTTTAAAGTTATGTATTTTTATGGAAAGGTGAATATACAGAGAGGACAATCTTCCATCCAATAATTCACTCCCCAAGTGGCCTCAGTAGAGCCACAAGCTGAGCCAATCAGGAGCCAGGGACTCCTCCAGGTCTCCCACATGGGTACAGGGGCCCAAGGCTTTGGGCCGTCCTCAACTGCCTTCCCAGGCCACAAGCAGGGAGCTGGATGGGAAGTGGGGCTGCTGAGATTAGAATCGGCACCCATGGGGATCCCGGAGCATTCAAGGCAAGGACTTTTACTGCTAGGCTACCATGGCGGGCCCCTCGCCACACCTCTTTCAATTTTGTCTCTTACTGTCCCGGTGTTTAAAGTCCTGTTACTTCTGCCTTCAAAAAGTGTGTGTGTGTGTGTTAAACTTGAAAGGCAGAGAGAAGGAGAAACAGAGATCATCCATCTCCTGGCTCACTTCCCGAACAGCCAGAGCTGAGCTGATCTGAAGCCAGGAGCCAGGAGCCTCTTCCAGGTCTCCCACACAGGTACAGGGTCCCAAGATCCTGAGACATCCTCCACTGCCCTCCCAAGTCCATAAGCAGGAAGCTAGATCAGAAGTGCAGCAGCCAGGACTAATACTGGCACCCCTGGAAGAGGCCTACACTGCAAGGCTGAGGATTATCTTATTGAGCCATCATGTCAGCCTCATTCAAAGTATATTTTAAATCTGGCTGCTCCATTTCCAATACGTCCATCCAGTTCTAAGCCACAATTCTTGCCATGGCTACTCAAATCTCCTTGCCAGTCCCATTTTTGAGATCACATCAAGATCACATCAGTTCAGATGGTGTCCACAGCCTCCTGCCTTGCAGAGCAGGCCCCGCCTCCCTGGTGTTGTGCTGCTGTTACCATGCCCTAGTTACACTGGGCTGAGGACATCATCCTTGTGGCTCAGCAACATGTCTTTTTTTTTTTTTTTTACCACAACCTCTCTCCTCAGCTTTTTGTTCTTGATCTCTCAAAGTTTAACCTCTCGTGTAATTATGTGTACCTCCCTCCTAGCAATTATAGCATGGATTATTTTATTTTTTGTGTTTGGTCTCAATACCAGAATAGAGATACCAGGGGTAGGGACTCATTAAGTCAATGTTTTATTTTGTTTTGTTTTGAAGATTTATATTATTTTTATTGGAAAGTCATATATACACAGAGAGACATAGAGGAAGATCATCCATCCATTGATTCACTCCCCAAGCAGCCACAACATTAGGACCTGCACCAATCTGAAGCCAGGAGCCTCTTTTTGGACTCCCACGCGGGTGCAGGATCCCAACGCTTTGGGCCCTCCTCATCTGCTTTCCCAGGCTAGAAGCAGGGAGCTGGGTGGAAAGCGGGGCCACCAAGATTAGAACTGGTGCCCATATGGATCCTGGTGTGTGCAAGAAGAAGGACTTTAGCCACTATGCTATTGTGCCGGGCCCAAAGTCAATATTTGTGAAGCTAGCAAATATATCAAGTCCTCTGTTTAACTGTAATGGCTTCCCCAGTGCCTTTAGGATGGAGTCCCAAATCCTCGATTTACTCCACAAATATCCTTTTTTTTTTTTTTTAAGATTTATTTATTTATTGGAAAGTCAGATATACAGAGAGGAGGAGAGACAGAGAGGAAGATCTTCCGTCTGATGATTCACTCCCCAAGTGAGCTCAACGGCCGATGTTATGCCGATCCAAAGCCAGGAGCCAGGAACTTCTTCCGGGTATCCCACGTGAGTACAGGGTCCCAAGGCTTTGGGCCGTCCACGACTGCCTTCCCAGGCCACAAGCAGGGAGCTGGATGGGAAGTGGAGCTGCCGGGATTAGAACCAGCGCCCATATGGGATCCTGGCGCATTCAAGGCGAGGACTTTAGCTGCTAGACCATGCCGCTGGGCCCCCAAGTTTCATTTTGAATTTGCTTCCTGATACTTACCACCTCGTCTCCCTCTCACCAAACTGGCCTTTTGCCTACTGCCTGGGAAGCTTCCTGCCCAGCACCACTCCCCATTCCTCCTCCACTGCAAAAAAACCTCCTCCATGTAAATCAGTGCTCTTTCAAGTCACATTTCCAAAACCAGGCTAGACTGGAGTCCTGTGCAACAGTAAGATTTATTTTTGTCTGAAAGGCAGAGTAACAGAAAAGAGGCACTAGGACACTAACTGGTGCC